TGGGCATTGGTTTTGTTATCTAAATAGTAATCATCATAATCGTAGTCTTTATGTTCTCTAAGATCTCTTTGACCTCCTTCCTTACAAGGCAAGGGACATATGGAGGTCTTTTGAATATTAATCTGCTAACATAGGCTTCCCCAGTGGCTCGCAAGAAAAGAATCTGCCAGCCAATGCAAGAGACGCAGGAGACCCAGGTTCTTTCCCTGGGTCAGTAAGATCCCCTGGAGGAGGGCATGGCAACCCACTCCAGTATTCTTGCCTGGAGCATCTCCACGGAGAGAGGAACTTGGCGGGCTGCAGTCCATGGGGTCGCAAAGAGTTGGATACGACTGAAGTGACTTAGCATGCACGCACAGATATCCCAAGATATCCTGCTAAATTAATTAATGAATACCACTTATGCCTCTTTGTATCTTTCTTAATGCCAGAAGTTTTGCTCAGCTATTAATAAATAATGAAGTTTTTTATTTGAAACATAAATCATAATGGGAAAACCAGACAGTACATACCTGTTGAAACACATTGTGTACTTCTTGCCACAAACGTTTAAGTACCATTTTTCTTCAGTATTTGTAGGGGATGGTTCCAGGCCTCCCCAGCCCCACCCCTGCAGATGCCAGAATCCATGGATGCTAAAGTCTCCTATATAAAATGGTGCAGTATTTGCATATAAGCAGTGCACATCTTCCTGTGTATTTTAAATCATTTCTAAGTTAACCTATAATACCTAATACAATGTGAATGCTATATAAATAGTTGCCAGCATGAAGCAAACTAAGTTTTACTTTTTGGAACTTTCTGAAGTTTCCCCCCACCCCTGCGCCCCCTCCCAAGATTTTTGATCCACAGTTGGTTGAATCTGTAGATGCAGAATGCGTAGATACAGAGAGCTGACTATAAATCTGATTAAACCTTTAGGTTTATATTATAAAAATTTATTTCACTTGTTTAATTTTACTTTTTAAATGTGGCTACTGGAAAAATTTAAATTACACATGTGGTTCATATTAAATTTATCTCAGGAAGTACTGATCTAGCCTATCACAGCTTTTCTATTGCAGTGAAAACGTGAGATAAAGATTTCTGGGAAAGATCACAATGGATCAAGTTTTAAATTTTAAAACATCTTTCGTAAAATCAGAACTAGAATTACAAAAAAAGAAATCCAGTCATAGCCTTTTAAGCAAAACTAGATGAGGAGAGGGTGTCCTCATAAGCCCCAGAGCATGGGTGGATTGGGGCAGCAGGACCCACACAAATCATGTGACTGAGCACCTGTGTGGCAGAAGGAATGAACAGCAAGGGGATCCAGACATAGAAGTCACTAACAGAGCTCAAAAGGAGAAGACGTCCCTTTGGATGGGAAACTTGAGCACCGGGCCTGAGAACAACTGGCACAACTGCCTCCAGGTTGCAGAGGAATGCAAAACAACCACGGGGACACACGAAGAAGCTTCAGGAAGAAGATTAGAAAGTACTGGGCTGGACTTGAAGAATCTCAGAAATTTCTAACAAAAACCGCTTTTGAGAAAGAAGGTCCAGTTGTAAAGAAACATTGCTAAAAAATAGAATCCTGTTTGTGCAAGGCAGAAACATGAAGTCTGAAGGGAGGAGCGTTTATATTCAAGTTAGGGATGGAATGCATACATAGGAGTCTGATTTCAAAACAGTGGTTCTGGCCACAGAGGCCATGGTTTTAAACAGTTCACTTTAAGACCAGGGGAGGTAGCTAGGAAAGCTACCCATGCTCACCTTAAACCCCCACATGCAAGTCTCCTCCTCCCTGACAGGTGCTACATGAAAACCCATTTCATTTCAGCATGAGTAAGAGAAAAGGATTTTCTGAAAACCCCATATAAATGCAAAAAAGGTAGAAATGAATAGAATAATGTGACAAGAGACAATGAAAGCATATTAGAAAAATAAGGCTACAAACCAATTGGAAACTGTAAAATATAAACTAAAGGAAATTAATAATGTTAATTCCTCTATGAATAAACCAGAATGATTCAGAGATAGGAAAACTCAGAAATTAATAAAGCAAATACTTGCAGAACTTTGGGGAAAAATAGGGGAAAATTATTTTAGAATGGAGCGTAATTTGGAAGGAACATAAAAATAGGCAATATAGTAAGTACAGCAAGAGGAAAACAAAAAGAATTTAACAGGAAATTGCAGATATAAAAGATAGGGAAAGAGTAATTCATATTAGCATAATTAGAGACCCTGAAGAAGTGTGTGAAAGTCGCTCACTCATGTCCAACTCTTTGTGACCCCATGGACTATACAGTCCCTGGAATTCTCCAGGCCAGAGTACTGGAGTGGATAGCTGTTTCTTTCTACAGGGGATCTCCCCAACCCAGGGATCGGACCCAGGTCGCCTGTACTGTAGGCGGATTCTTTACCAACTGTTGCAAGGGAAGCCCTGAAGAAGCATGAGACAAAACAAATATTTAAAACTTCTGTCAACAAACCCTTATTTATTGCTCATAGGAATGTAAAGTGGTCCAGCTTCTGTGGCAGTAATCAAGAAGTTTTCATTAAAACCACAATGAAATGCCACTACATTCCTCCCAGTCCTAAAATTAAGAGGACTGACAATACCAAATGAAGACAAGGTTGTGAAGCTATCAGAGTTATCATACGTGGTAGGCATGTCAGTTGCTGCAGTCATTTGGAAAACTGTTTGGCCTTTTCCGCTGAGGTTTAACATAGTCATACTCTGTAACCCAGAAGTTTCCTTCCTACGTATATACTCATTATAACTGTATTCCATTTAAATCCGTGTAGGGTGTTGCTAGTGTCCCTGTCTTCACCTCCTTACCTGCAAATATCATGTGGCTGAAATGTCATTGAGAGTAAATGTTCCATGGTTATATGGTGTTGATGGTTGCATAATTCTGTGATTATACTAAAAATCACTGAATTGTACATTTTTAAAAAGTGAATTTTATGTGAATTATATCTCAATAAAGCTGCTATTAAAAACAAAAACAAAATGTCATTGGGAACATGTAGTGATTTCCTGTCAGATTCAATCTCAGTTTTGGTTTATCAAACAAAGCCATTTGTTGTATCTAGCCCCAGTTTCCTCTCCAGTCTTGTCCAGTCTTTCGTGTACAGTCCACTCAGTAGTTTTAATCTTGCTGATAACACCTTCATATTCCAGTAAGTGCTTTCATATATATCCTTAATAATATGAAAATAATCAAAGCATGGATATTATTCCTATTTTATTTACTTAAAAATTTTATTGAAGTATAGTTGATTTATATCAATTTCAGATTACAGCATAGCAATCTGACATTTTTATAGATTATATACTCCATTTAAAGTTAGAATATTGTGTATATTCCTTGTTGTTGTATATTACATCCTTGTATCTTATTTATTTTATACCTAGTGGATCCTATACTATTTTAAAACCAAGGAAACTTGAGACAGAATGATTTATCTGAACTCACAAGGCTCGCATTAGAATTTGCTTCAACTTCAAGATACTTAGTGAGCATCTTTTATGTACCAGGCACTAGTCGGTGCAGTTGGGAGACTGAAAGCAACTCCTCTCCTCTGGTCTCTATACTCAGGGAATTCACCTATGTTGCTTCTAGTCTTGGTCTGTCCTCGCTGGTCTTCTCATCTCTTGTCTGCTTTACTGCCTCTATTTTGTTCTTGACTAACTTCAAAGCCCTTATAAGCTCTCTTTTCCTCACTAACCTTCTTTAAACCTTCCTTTACTTTGAATTCCTCGGGACCTGACCAATTCTAAATATATCTGTAACTTGCCACATTTTTTTTGGTTGGTTCAAATGCATGTTTATTCCCTCAGTTGTTATGAAATCTTCTCAAGGGCATAAATAAATATCACCTATAATTTAGAAAATATTCTCCACCATTTTACCTCATTGGGCCAGCATGCTGCTTGGCTTTTGAGATGCTTAGTGGTCAAATTTATGTTAAATAGAAAACTAAGGCCTTGTCTTGGTCTTTAATCTACTTGTGAGCTGGAAAGATCAAACACACACAAGGGATATATCCTGTGTGCTATTGTAAAACAATGTATCAGTTGTGAAAAATGAAAAACTTCAGATTGAATAGCTAAGTGGTTCTGATGGGTTGTTCTGCTACGCTGTAACAGTTAACTGTAGCTTACAGTTAACTCTGGTCTTTGGACCCACTGTAGCCCCAGTAGTTTGTATGGAAGCATCTAAAATAACTGCTAGGTGGTGATTAGGCTGATTTGGACTAATATTCACTGAGGTGAAGGCAGCACCACTGGTTGGCCTCTCCTGTTGTTCAGTCACTGAAGTTGTGTCCAGCTCATTGCAACCCCATTGACTGCAGCATGCCCGGCTTCCCTGTCCTTCAGCTGTCTCACAGTTTCCTCAATCTGTCTATTGAGTCAATGATGCTATCCAACCATCTCATCCTCTTCCACCCTTTTCTCCTTTTGCCTTCAATCTTTCCCAGCATCAGGGTCTTTTCTAGTGAGTCGACTGTTAGCATTAGGTGGTCCAAGTATTGTAGCTTCAGCATCTCCTGTAACATACTATTAATGTTAGTAAACCACTATAGCACATATTATCTCAATAGAATGATGAATCATCCCATACCTGTGTATTTTCATAAACTTTACAGATAACAGGGAAACAGTGAAAAGCTTCTTAAAGTGAGCAAAGTAAAATGGAACTAGCATTTTGTGTTATTAAGAGATACTGTTTATGGTAGAGTTCTCTTTCCACTCAAATATCTTACTTATACTGTTGATTTTATGTCAGTTTAGGTGGATATCCTATAGCTTGGTCAAATAGTGGTCTTCTAGTGTTCTCTATTCATTGCAAATAGTCTCTCTCTGTCATTCTTGAATAATATAATCAAAAATAAATAAAACTAAACATACTTAATGTTTTTTTATTGTTGCTGTTTTATTTTTTAAATTCAGATATAGTTGATTTACAGTACTGTGTTAATTTCTGCTATTGTTGCTGGTTTTTAAGGCACAGTTGGTGGATCTGAAATCTGAACTGACAGAGACCCAAGCAGAGAAAGTTGTATTGGAGAAAGAAGTACATGATCAACTTTTACAGTTGCACTCTATTCAGCTTCAGCTTCATGCTAAAACTGGCCAAAGTGTTGACTCTGGTACCATTAAGGCAAGATTGGTAAGTAGTTTAGAGAATAACACATACTTATATGTATTTTAGAGGGTGAAAAGAACAGTCTTTAATGAGCCTTTTTAATTATAAAAATTAGTGTGTGTTCCTGGGAAATTTGGAAAATACAGGAAATGTGAAGATCGTCCTAATCTTTGATCTCATTACCTGGAGACGACCAGTCACAACATCAATAACCAGTTGGTACTTAGAATAGAATCTTACTCCTATTTTAAAAGATCTATATAAATATATTTAAAAGATATTTGTAATTGTAACATGTAAACAGTTTTTTTTTGCCAGTCTACTGTATCAGTTAAGATTTAGTTTAGCTACATATAAAACAGATCCCAAGTAACATGAGAATTGTTCTTAAGTAGTACATGTTATCAGTCTTTTCTCTCAGTTGAAGAAGCTTTGAGACAGGCAGTCCAGAGCTGGTAGGGCAGTTCCACAGATACCAGGGATCCAGCTTCCTTTTGTTGTTCTGCTCTGTCATCTTCAGCTCATGGTTTCTGCCTTCAGGATTTCTTCCTACCTGCATTCCAGGATCTTGCATTCCAAGATCTAAGGGCAAAATGATGCTTCCTAGCTGCGTTCATTTTCTTTAACGACCTTTTCATGAAATCCTCAGCTTTTTGCCAATCGTTTAGCTGTCTCATTGGCCTTCCCTAGCTGCATGTCACATGAACACCTCCAGTAAAATCTGAGTTCTTTTAATAAGGAAGAAAATGGAGGAAAATGGAGTTGGGTGTCAGCCAGTGGCACGTTTTTTCTTTTGCTCTTAATATAAGTTTTTTCCCTGCCACTGAGTACTTTCTCATGTTTGCATAATGTTTGTTTTTTATAAGTGTTGCATAATTAACTATTGCCCTCTTAATCAGTGTAACTTGTTTAAAGAGAATTTCTTTTAAGTCTCATTTTGATTTAACCTCATATGTATTAAGTGTACTATAGGGAACACAGCAATAAATAAGACATACAACTTGGGAGAGGGATGAGATAAGATGATGTTGATGATGACAGCAGTGCAGTTTAAAGTTTTATTCATTTTCAGTTATTTCTGTTTAATTGGTTGATTAGTTTCTAATACTGGTATGTTAGGATTTATTTAAATGAATATTTACATTCTCTTAAAGTACTTTTAAGTTTTGAAATTCTCTAACTATAAATTATTAGTGTTTAATTGAGATGAGTCAGATTCATAACTGCTTCTTTGGAATATTTGATACTAACATTGAGAAACACTGTACATTTTCACTAGAATAGAATTCATCTGACATGTTAACATTAGTTTTGAAACACGGTGCTTTAGTGGAAAGACATTGAACCAAATGTGTTAACCAGTTTGGATAAAATAAAAAGAATTAATCCTGTACGGTTACCATTGCTTATGGATTTGCAAATATATTTATTTTAATGAACTTGACCCAAGTGATACTCAACATATAGGAATTTTCCTTGTAATGATTGTACCACTAAATAAGTTTATTTGTTTGATGTTTTTCTAATTATAAAACTTTTTTCTTATATCTTAAGTCTGTCCCCTCTGTGGAGGAGCTGGTAAGTATACCATTTCTGTTTTGCTTTAATATGTTATGCTGAAGTGTTCTTAGTGCGTTTTTTGCATAATACATGTTGTCACCTTGTACGTATCTGAAAGTGATGTTAATGATGGTAATTTTTTAATGTGCCAGTACCTGAAAAATTCAGTCAGTAGCCCATTGCTCTTTTCTCACCTCATGTTGTTAAACAATTTTTCTTTTGTTTGTGATTTATTGCCATTACTTGTAGAACCCATCAATTTTTGACAACTTCTGAGCTTTGTAATTTGCTCATACCGCTGCTTCAAAAGAACAGTTGGTTTTCCTTATGCAGGCCTAGCTCTTTCCTCCTTTTCTATTTGAATTTATTCCCAGAGAAAGAATGTGCATGTTCGTTTCTTATTCGTCCACTGCATGTGTTATAACTTTTTAGCAGTCTTGAGAATAATTGTGTGGCCTTTGAAACAATTGAATTTTGAAACCCTTTATTAAATTTACCTTAGAAAATAACAGTATAGATAAATTCTTAATATTTTTCCCACTACCTAAGCCTAATCAGGTTCTAAGTTGTCATATGACTTTTCTTCTTTTGGAAATATAGCATGTGGATATCAGAATATAAAATTAACTTATTTATTGTTACCTAATGATGAACAGGTTAACTGAAACAAGATTCTTTTCTTTAAATCTAAAAGTGATTAACTTCAGTGTTCTTAGTCCTGTTTTTGCTTGCATCTGTTCATTTTAGGCTAGAGAGTTTGTCCAATTCACTAGGAGTTTAAATCATTAAAGCAAAGTAGTGACTTAATGTTTCTCATATTTCATAAATATTGTATAAATAGCTCATTAAAGTAAATAGAGAATCCTCAACATAAAATTTACTTAGCCCATAAACAATTCTTAGTCTTCTCGGAACTCTTTTTTTCTGATACAAAAGCATTAAGCTCCATAAATGTCATTAAAAAAGACTTTGTTCATGTTGTCCGAACCATGGTTTCTTTTGGAACTGATAACCTGCCCTTTTAGGAAAGAGATTCTGAAATAAATTGAGATTTTAAGAGTTCCAAAGTTGTTGTAAAAGGATTCTAGATTATTAGTTCTTCAAATTAAAAAAAAAATCTAAACAATTGTGTTCTAGTTGTTACATTTGTCTTTTTACAGAAGTGGAAAAAACATGCTAATCTTCCTTCTTATCACATACATAGTGACAAAAGTTTAATCAAGGAAGTGATAAGTATATTCAACATTTGGTAATTGTCATTCATTTTAGGCTATTTTTTTTTATTGTTTTTAAGATGGTGGTACTTACTGCCTTGTATTTGAATATATCATATATTGATGTTTAAATATATTGTATATTGATATGCTGTTGTTAAAACAGTAGATCAAAGCAGACATCGAAATTAGTATCAAAACATATTCCATTAATTGTTAAAAGTTTGCTCACATTTGTTTCTCAGTTTATTATTTATAGTAAAAGGGAAATAATTACAGTATTCACTACTTGAAAGTTAGAAACAATATCCTGTGCCATTCACTCAAGAGAAGCATTCTTCCTGGTGCTGAGGTGGAGCTTTATTTAAATCTCCTAAAGGGGACATGGTGTAGTGAACAGTGTCTTCTGCATGTCATCAGTAAATATATTTTCACAGGATTTATAGATTCTGTAAATTAACGAATCTGTGAAAGTAGTGTTCTAAGTCAGTAAACACTTCCACCCAAATTTGGGATAGTTCTCTTGATCCAAAAATAACATTTAAATGATCTTTCAGGGCCCTTATCCAACTCTCAGAAGGGTTTATTTAGTCATACTGTGTGTGTGTGTGTGTGTGTGTGTGTGTGTATGTGGGTGTGTGAGTGCAAATTTGAATTTGACTTTCTTTAGGCAGGATTTTTACCTTCTCTTTTCCCCTCTGCTTTCCTTTGTACCTACCTGCCTATTCTGTGCTTGGATCCCAAAGGTATTTACATTTGTAATCCTTGATGTATAGGAGTAGGTACACTGTACTTTATACTTTGAAAGTATATTGAAAATTATTTCTCTCACATGTGAGTTGGTGATAAAAACTTGGTGGCAAAAATCTTAAGGTTATATTCTCTGGTTCACACCTTATAAATTCATGTATGTGAGTTATCTACCAAGTGAAGCAAAGGATAGCATCCTTTTTTGAGAGATAAAAATGGATATCTATCCAACCTCATAGTAGGCAAGCCAGGCCAGTATTTTTTCTCAGAAAACAGTTCTTCAGTCACTTTAACATTTGGACAAATAGATGATCCATTCCAGATCCCAAAGTTCAGTGGTACTCTGCATCATGGATATAGTTATCTATAGTTAGTTTTTCTGTAAGCTGTATTTTTTATTGAAGTATAGTTGATTTACAATGTTGTGCTGATTTCTGCTATACCACAAAACGACTGAGTTACACACATGTATGTATTTACTCTTTTATGCTTTTTTCCTATGCGGTTTATCCCAGGGGATTAGATAAAGACCTCTGTGCTGCACAGTAGGACCTTGTTGTTCATTCATTCTAAATGTAATAGCTTGCACCTACTAACGCCAGAGTCCCCATCCGTCCCTCTCCTTCTCCCCCCCCCCCCCCTTGGCAACCACAAGTCTGTTCTCTCTATAGATATTTTTTAATGTGTAAATATTTTTAATGCAGTTATTACCAGCATTTCTCCATTACCATAAAATGTTTTTTTAAAAATTGGAGTATCTGTTCTAATTTAAGCATTGTAAATTTCTTACAATGCTCTAAGATACATTGGCTATAAAATGTTTCTCTTTGTAGCCGAATTTATAATTTATAGAATTGCTGCATTAAAGTTAATGAAATGTTTGGGCACAGTCACCAGAGTGATTATTTTAGTCTAGTTTTAGAGTCATTTTAGAAAGTAGAGAGTAGATTCAATTATCCATTGAAGCCATTACTATTAGTATGTGATAACATGTGCTTAGAGAAGGCTACTAATCTTAGTATCCTCAGGATCAGGGTGCCTCAAGCTATGTTATCTTACCTCGAAGTGGTTCTAACACCTCTGGTACTAGTTTTGAAAAAAACTGGATCCAAATCATTGTGCTCTGTTTTATAGAAATAAAGTAATTCTTATCATATGCTTTCATCATTGGTATCATAGATTGTGTGCTTTTTAAGGCGCATGGTCTATTGCTAAAGTCTTGAAAGTATTTTCATTGCATTTTTTAAAAATTGCAACAGGAGAGAGAGCTTGAAGCAAACAAAAAAGAGAAAATGAAAGAAGCTCAACTTGAAGCTGAAGTGAAGTTATTGAGAAAAGAGAATGAAGCCCTTCGCAGACATATAGCTGTTCTCCAGGCTGAAGTTTATGGGGCAAGACTGGCTGCCAAGTATTTGGATAAGGAACTGGCAGGAAGGTGTGTGAAAAATGGGTACCATCGTACCCTTGTGCTCTTAGGTGACCAAGTGCATAGTTAAAGAGGTGGACTCTTACCTGTTTTGGTAAACAATATATTAATCTTTATATAAGAGTGATTTTATGGTTGATTGTAGCTTACTGTTGTTAACTTCATAGCATTACAGATTGCAGATTTAATTCAGTTCAGTTCAGTCGCTCAGTCATGTCCGACTCTTTGCAACCCCATGAATCGCAGCACGCCAGGCCTCCCTGTCCATCACAAACTCCCGGAGTTTACCCAGACTCATGTCCATCGAGTCGGTGATGCCATCCAGCCATCTCATTCTCTTGTCGTCCCCTTCTCCCCCTGCCCCAATCCTTCCCAGCATCAGGTTCTTTCCCAATGAGTCAACTCTTCACATGAGGTGGCCAAAGTATTGAAATTTCAGCTTCAGCATCAGACCTTCCAATGAACACCCAGGACTGATCTCCTTTAGGATGGACTGGTTGGATCTCCTTGCAGTCCAAGGGACTCTCAAGAGACATGATGTACTCTGCATATAAGTTAAATAAGCAGGGTGACAATATACAGCCTTGATATACTCCTTTTCCTATTTGGAACCAATCTGTTGTTCCATGTCCAGTTGTAACTGTTGCTTCCTGACCTGCACACAGGTTTCTCAAGAGGCAGGTCAGGTGGTCTGCCCATCTCTTTCAGAATTTTACACAGTTTATAATGATCCACACAGTCAAAGGCTTTGGCATAGTCAATAAAGCAGAAATAGATGTTTTTCTGGAACTCTCTTGCTTTTTCGATGATCCAGCAGATGTTGACAATTTGATCTCTCATTCCTCTGCCTTTTCTAAAACCAGCTTGAACATCTGAAAGTTCACGGCTCACGTATTGCTGAAGCCTGGCTTGGAAAATTTTGAGCATTGCTTTACCTAGCATGTGAGATGAATGCAATTGTGTAGTAGTTTGAGCATTCTTTGGGATTGCCTTTCTTTGGGATTGGAATGAAAACTGACCTTTTCCAGTCCTGTGGCCACTGCTGTGTTTTCCAAATTTGCTGGCATATTGAGTGCAGCACTTTCACCGCATCATCCTTCAGGATTTGAAATAGCTCAACTGGAATTCCATCACCTCCTCTAGCTTTGTTTGTAGTGATGCTTCCTAAGGCCCACTTGACTTCACATTCCACGATGTCTGGCTCTAGGTGAGTGATCACACCATTGTGATTATCTGGGTCATGATCTTTTTTGTATAGTTCTTCTGTGTATTCTTGCCACCTCTTCTTAATATCTTCTGCTTCTGTTAGGTCCTTACCATTTTTGTCCTTTATTGAGCCTATCTTTGCATGAAATATTCCCTTGTTATCTCTGATTTTCTTGAAGAGATCTCTAGTCTTTCCCATTCTGTTGTTTTCCTCTACTTCTTTGTATTGATCACCAAGAAAGGCTTTCTCATCTCTCCTTGCTATTCTTTGGATCTCTGCATTCAAATGGGAATATCTTTCATTTTCTCCTTTGCTTTTTGCTTCTCTTCTTTTCACAGCTATTTGTTAGGCCTCCTCAGACAGCCATTTTGCTTTTTTGCATTTCTTCTCCATGGGGATGGTCTTAATCCCTGTTTCCTGTACAGTGTCATGAACCTCCGTCCATAGTTCATCAGGCACTCTATCAGATCTAGTCCCTTAAATCTATTTCTCACTTCCATACTAAATAAGTGTTTCTGGTTGACATATACACTGCTAGTAAATTACTGTGAAATGCTAACAACTCTTAGAGCTAGACTTTCACCATTTCCTGTCTTCACACCGTAACAGATGATGTTCCCATGTACAGCAGGACTTTCATAGGAATTCTTTCTGTAACCATTGAAACCCAGTCTTTCTTGTCCCTCAAAAACATATTGGAATGACAGTGATTTTATCATAATATAGAGTTTTGCTTTCATTAACTTTTATGGTAATTATTCCCCAACTCTGGTGATTTACTATTACTAAATAATTTTCTGCTTGTTGGTTTAATGTATTAAGAACTGATGTGGAGCAAATGAAAATAATTTACGTTATCTCAAAGTGCACATTTCTAATAATTTTACCACATTTAAAAAAGTAATCATTTTGTAAAAAGAAACTGTCATTGGAAAAACTGTTTTGTATAGTTAGCCTCATCTGAAAACTAGTCTGATTGCATGTAAAACATGAAACATGTTGACATTAGTCTCTTAAATTGTTTCTAAGATGTATATGAATTAGGTATGTGACTAAAGGTCATAGTCATTCTTTTTTTTAAACTAGTTTTCCCTTGAAGACACCTGTCTTTTTCAGAATTTTCTTGTTTTTATAAATCTGAGAGACATCAGGAAATTCCTGAGTATTAGTTTCATTACTAGATTTATGTGAAAGCTACTTGTGTCCAGTAATTCTTATGAATTCTTTATGTGTGTGTGTGTGTGTGTGTCTATGTATGTGTGTATATATATAAAATGAAAAACTAACTGAATTAATTCTTTTCCCAAATGAAGAGTCCAACAAATACAGCTACTTGGACGAGATATGAAGGGACCTGCTCATGATAAGCTTTGGAACCAGCTGGAAGCTGAAATACATTTGCATCGTCACAAAACTGTTATCAGAGCCTGTCGAGGACGCAATGACCTGAAGCGACCGATGCATGCTCCCCCAGGCCACGTATGTGTGCTGCTGTTTCTCTCTCAGTCTTGCCTTTCTTTAATCACAAGTCCTTTGCATTTTTAAGAATTCTAGTAGAATTTAAAATCTTTATTTAAAAGTGAAAGTGGGATTAAACTTATTTTAAAATAGATACATATTTAAAGTTTCAGCAGCCCATATAGCTCCTACGCTAATACCCCAAAAATGGTATTTCTGAAGACACTGAACTATTGATAGCAGATGCATGTTGCTTCAGCTCATATTTCAGAATTTTCCTAGATCTCGATTAGGCCTGTTTACAGAAGTTCTAAGCTTAGCAGAGTGTGTGTGATCCTGTTGATAAATTGGCAAATATTTGGGGGTAGTTCTTTATAAGGGGACTCTTGGTAACTAGCTTTATATATTATTTCCAAGCTAGCATTTATACCTGTTTGGTTTTGGATTAAGGTGGAATTTGAGTTCTGTGTCTAGTTGTCTGCTTCCGTAGCCACCACTGTACAGGAGCTTTTCTTTCTACCTATATAAAAATTCATTAAATTTCACTGCAACAGCAGCCTGATGGTACAAGCCTTAATATAATAAAATCATATCTAACTCCCTATCCAGTGGATCGCATATTTTAGTATCAGGTAAATCCTGGCCTTTGTTGCCTTTGAGAAGATTGTTGTAAGAAGAATTGGCATGTATGTGGCGACTGTGGGAGAGGAGTGGTGACTGCAGTAAGCACTCGTGTCATTGTCTTCTTTGGGGTTCTCTTGGTTCCCGTTAACTTCTAGGCAGTGGCCAGATGATAAATGTTATCTTATGCTAAATAAAGTCACTTGAATCTTAACCTGATGGTCAGGGGATTTTCAAATAAAATAGTGGACTTAATAAGATTTAGCATTTGTTTGACAGTTTCTTTGGGTAGTGAGGAGGATATATTGGAAGAGGGACTAATTGAAATCAGGGAAATTACATTTGGAAAGATAATAAGGAGAAAGGGATCAGAGGAAGAACAGGTTTGAGAGAATTAGAATCAAAAGGAGTTAGTGACTAACTGCTTTTGGTTAAGTAGGTAAGAAGGAAAGTTTGGGTTTTGGTTTGGGCAATGGAGTGAGATGATGGCATGCATTGATAAACCAAATATAGGGAAAGGAAGGTTTTGATAGAAAGATGATATCAGTTTTAGACATGTAGCGATTGAGGTGCCAGTGGGACAGCCAGGCTATATCCAATTATATATGTGACTCTGGAATTCTAGAGAGAACTCTTGAGTTGAAGATTAGTAGGTAAATCGTCTTTTGAAACCATGGAATTGATTAAGTCGCCCAGGAAAAGTATGTAGAAAGTAAAAAGCTGGACGGAAACCATTAAGGAGTGCGGGAAGGAAATGAATCGCCAAAGACAGAAGCCTGAGGTGGAGCTGTCAGATATGGGCTCCTAGGAAAGTAGTGTGGTGGACACCAAGGAAGAGAGGCTTCAAGGAGGGGACTGTGAACAGTATCAACTTCTGCAGGGTTCGAAAGGGCAGGGACTGAAAAGTATTCATTGGAAGCAGCCACATTGGTTACCAGTGACTGCAAAGACAGCTTCGGGGGAGCAGGTGGAGTAGAACCCCCAATTACAGGTTGGAGTCCTGGATATGGGAGGCAAGGAAGTAACTACAGTGAGGATTAACTTTGTGTAAAGGTTGAGGAAAGATGGAGGATGGACAGAAGGTAACCACGATTGTGGATGGTTTGTATGTTTTTTTTGTATGTTTTGTGTTTGTGCGTGGTCTGTGTTTTACAGCTTGGTGAGGCTTGACATTTTTTCACTTTAGGGAAGGAGCTTGTAGAGAGAGGGAAAAAGTAAAGGTACCAGAGAAAGAATTATTAATGGAGCAAGGTCCTTTAGTTAAGAGGTAGATTCCACAGCTCAAAGAAATGAAAAAGTAGTTAATGACCAGTTGACATTTTGTTTTTCAGTTCTATAATTCAGTTGAAAATGGATATAGATCTTAAAGCTATTTTCCAGTGAAGATAAAGTTACCTCCTTTTATTTCTTAAAGGTATTGTTTATCAGTTCATGGGAGTAGTTTCTTTTGTAATGTCATGTATAAGTATTAAAGAAATTAACAAGAGGGTGAGAAAATCATGTACATTCACTGTATTAATAGAACCACTATTTTTGCTTTCCCATGTTACCTGTTAATTATGTTCTTAACATTATACTGTGTATCCATTACAGGAAACCAATAAACATTTCTAAAAGCAAGTTACTCTATATGGTATATAGTTTAAGTACTACTAACTTTTCTTCTTTTTTTCCCCTCCAACAAGGATCAAGACTCTTTAAAGAAAAGCCAAGGTGTTGGTCCAATTAGAAAAGTTCTCCTCCTTAAGGAAGATCATGAAGGCCTTGGCATTTCAATTACAGTAAGAAGTAGTGCTTCCAGTCTCCTCTTCGCTCCACTTCTCTAGTATAATCACACTCCTTTGTTGAACATCATTGGGAAATAAAGTATTCTGAATATATTTTCTAAATAACTAAACTTATCCCCATGAATAATAGCACATTTGTGTAAACTTTTTTTTTTGGTATGTAAATCTTCCTAATAACAGTTAAATATTACTTTAAAGTATTTTTTCAGTAATCATTGTTTATCATTTTCACTATGACTCTGATCATAGTTCTGCACCACATCCTGTGATGCCTGTAGGAGCCTTTGGGATTGGATACGACTGTTTTCTCCTGTGTTAAATGACCTGATTGTATTGTTCTTTTCTCTAGAGTATTTGCTGTCTTTCTCTTGTCTCATTTCTTGGCTGTGAGATTTCACTGGCTCTTGGGTCCAAGTATTTCTCTCTTTTAATGTTGATTCCTTTACAAACGGTTGTCTTGGACAACCTTCTTGAGAGCAATCTGTTTTAAAATACGTATAACTAGAGCATTTTGTTCAGTGGTTTGTTCCAAATCGATGAATAAGCTGGCTTTTTATACTTAGGCACTGCAGAAGTTTATTTACTTTCTGATATTGTTTACTGTAGAAATGTTTCTTGCAATAAAAAGTTTATCTAATAGATGTTTATTGAATATACCTACCTTTTTGAGTATACTTCCCTCAAAGAGCACAAGTTTAGTAAGAGAAATAAGACACACACATAATTATGATTACAGGCTAGAAAGTGAAAGGTACCAAATGCTGTATTTCATTAATTTTGCATTGCATATTTCTTCACATTTTAACATCTGTGAAATTCAGATTCATCTTACAGTTTTTTGTGGAACATAAAATAATGGGTTTTTTCTTACGTTCATTGGGACTTAGGTTTGATAAAATCTGATAGTACTATGGGCTACTAATACATAAAATATTTATGTTTAAGAGAGTTAAGCCAATTGTTCTTTTGGTTTTTCAGGGTTCTTTTTTTTTAAATTTTGTAATGCATTTTATTTATTTATTTATTTATTTTTTATTTTTTTATTAGTTGGAGGCTAATCACTTTACAATATTGTAGTGGTTTTTGTCATACATTGACATGAATCAGCCATGGATATACATGTATTGCATTTTAAAAAGCACATGTATGTTATTAATCATTTTACTTAGAGGTAACTCTTTGGTATTTATGATAGTTTGATTTACCATTACCTAAGTAGCAAATAGGATATCACTGAGCATTTATAGAGACAGTATAGGTGCTTATTGAAATGTTTTTAGAAAAATATTTTATCAGAATAGTGTGCAACTATGTAGAGGTAAACTAGTTTGTTGCTTTTTTTTTTTTTTGACTAGGGTGGAAAGGAACATGGTGTTCCAATCCTCATTTCTGAGATCCATCCAGGGCAGCCTGCTGATAGATGTGGAGGGCTGCACGTTGGAGATGCTATTCTGGCTGTTAATGGAGTTAACCTACGGGACACAAAGCATAAAGAAGCTGTAACCATTCTTTCCCAGCAGGTAAGTTCCCTTTATATAATTAACATTGGATCTCTCAGTTGTTCCTTTTTGAGTCTATTGAATAGATGATACTTCCCTAGGAGGTTTCTCAGGTAGTAAAGTGTTTATCTATAGATATTAGTTTCCTTTGACTTGACCCTTTTGTAGAAGACATTCAGCCAGATTTACTGAAAAAGATTTTGATCGCTCTTCTTCACAGCTGTATAGCTTTGAGCAAGTTACTTAAGTCCTTAGTGCTGCAATGTTCTCATCTGAGAGCTGGAAGGATTAAGTTTGTTAATACATACAAAGTATTCAGAACAGGACTTGGTTCTTGGAAAACAAAACATCATTAATGACTAAAACACTATATAGATATGAAATATTATAGAAAAAACAATGCTAGAAGTGGATTGATATTACAGTCGTAAATGTTAGAAGTCAAGCATCATTAGAAATCTTTTAACCAACCCTCTTATTTAAAATGAGTAAAATAAACTTCTTAGAAATTAGATTGCTCAAGGTTGCAGAACAAATAGATTAAAGAATTGAGATTCATATCCAGGAGTCATATTTGTTATCCAGAAAAATTAAGATGTAAAAAATGTTTTGTTTTTTCTTTCAAGAATACGTTTGAGGGAATTAGAGAGGTGTTGGTTAGTACATTGAGATTTTCATTGGATCATCAGTATAGTATGCCAGAGCAGACTTGAATTTCAGAGTTGAAAATGAATTTATAGCTCATTTAGTTCAATTCTACTTGATGCATAAATAACTACAGTATCACTAAATGAATGTGTGTGTGTTGTGTGTTCAGTTGTGTTTGACTCTTTGCGACCCCATGGACCCACCAGACTCCTCTGACCATGGAATTTTCCAGGCAAGAATACTGGAGTGGGTTGCCAGTTCCTATGCCAGGGGATCTTCCCAACCCAGGGATTAAACCCACGTCTCTTGCATCTCCTGCATTGGCAGAGGGATTCATTACTACTGTGCCATCTGGGAATTAATTGTATTCAGTATTAAAGGGAGGACTGGTTGGTGATAATGCAGTCCATTTCATTGTTTTAGACTGCTGATTTTTAGAAAGCTCTTCCTCATATTAAACCTAAAATCTGTTTCTTCATGACAGCCACCCACAGACCTGATTCTGTCATCTAAAGAACTTTACTGAAGACCACTACAGTGTGGGAGACCCAGTTTCGATCCTTGAGTTAGGACGATCCCCTGGAGAAGGAAATGGCTACCCACTCCAGGATTCTTGCCTGGAGAATTCCATGGACAGTACAGTCCATGGGGTCGTATAGAGTTGGACATGACTGAGTGACTAACACACTGCATTTACCGACTCCCCAAAGTGTTATTTTTAAAGCATTATCTGATGAGGGAGACTTAGAATGCAGCACTCGTTTCTTTAAGTTGGTGTTCTCTCAGTCCAACTTGACTGTCATCCTGTAGCGTGAGTGGGGTGAATGGCTGCTGAGGTAAGGGGGACATAAACAGGCAGTTCGTGAGCTGCAGTTCATGAGATGCAAAATTTTATGGAAGTGCTGAACACACGTAAAGTTCTGAAGGATAACCTTAAGCTGCTGGGAAAGAGGAGCACCAAAGAGACTTAGTGGGTAGCACTTCAAAACAAAACAAAACGGCATGCTTTCTTTTGAGCAAAGGCAGGCCATAATTTTCAGAGAATTGCAAACACTGGTCTTGTGTGTAGTGATTGTAGTCTCTTAAGTGACAGTTATAGCTCGGAATTTGTTTTAACATAAAATAATATATAACTTTTTACTTGAACATGAAGTTATTATTAAAGAATAAAATATAAATATTACACATTTAGTCTAGTATAGGAGAAAGAGCAAGGACTTTGGAGTCAGTTTCTGTTTTTCTATTTTACTTGTTCATCTTATTGAGAGTTATCAGCCCTCTCCAGGACTCACTCAGGTTTCTCATTCATGTATGGGGACTACAATAGAGTTGTTCTGAGAATTGAAGGATATAATTTTGAACAATAAACACAGTCATTGCTATTATTACTCAACAGAATAGTTGACCAGCAACTATGTCTGCTCTCAGTGACAGTTACGGAAACGCTCAAGACCTATTGAGTAAGAAACAAGAAATCATTGTGTAGAGGTTTCTTGAATTAGTCAAAGAAAAGTTTGTGTGGTGCCCTTAGGTGCAACTTTAATATCTGACTATTAGATAGATTTTCTGAATTGCTGCTATGTAAAGTATAAAATGACAAAATGACTTTTAAACTGAACACTTTGTTCCAAAATTCTGTAAACTGAATAATCATCCTTTTTTGTTTTAGGTCTTTTGGGGAAAATATTTTGATCAGGAGAAAGATCTGTAATACTGAAAGGAAATTACATGTACCTCTTGAGAGTCTAAAATTTCACTGTTTGTTATCTTGAAAGGAGCTACATCTGAGGCCCAACTGTTGCTTCTCACCTCAAAGAATTTGGAAATCTTTTAAAGTTACAGTAACGTGGTTTTTGCATTTTCTTTTCCCCATTTTAGAGAGGAGAGATTGAATTTGAAGTAGTTTACGTGGCTCCTGAAGTGGATTCTGATGATGAAAATGTAGAGTATGAAGATGAGAGTGGACATCGTTACCGTTTGTACCTTGATGAGTTAGAGGGAAGTAGTAATCCTGGTGCTAGTTGTAAAGACACAAGTGGGGAAGTCAAAATGTTACAAGGTAAAAACCACCGTGAAAGTTACAATTAATGTATTTACTATCAATAAACTTAAAAAATATACAAGACTTAGATGTTCTTTGTAACACTGTTTTAACGATGGGGAAACCAGTATTAACAGAGTGGATAGCTTTCCCTTGCTAAATTATAGCTTTATTATACACCAGTAATTATGCCAATATTTTATTTACATGTCAGTTCTTCTAGATTCACCTTGGACAGATATATGAGCAGTTACCAAACTACAGCTAATCCTTGAAATATAAATAAAATTCAAGTTTTCTAGACAGAAACAAAGGTCAACGTGCATTTCAGAGTAGATACGTCTTAACATCTTGCTGTTTTAATGCACATTGTTCTTTCATAACGGAGTGATTTTACAGGCTGAATTTGAATAAGTAATTAGACTGTTATCTTGTGATTTTTACTGGAATCAGGATATGTAGTCTTGAGGGTTTGGGGTTTAGTTCCTTTGCTGTCATCTATACATATTTTAAAGAACAATTCTAGCGCTTTTATATGGAGCACTGGTGCTTAAAGTGTGATCCATAGATCTGTAGGGACCCTGAGACCTTGCAGGGAGTTCGAGATCCAAAGTTTTCATACTAATAAATACTAAGGCATTGTTTGTCTTGTGTTGATACTTATTGATGGTACAAAATCAGTGGTGGTAAAACTGTTGGTGCCTTAGTATGAGTCAAGGCAAATAGCACTGCTTTACTAGTGATCACTGTGTTCTTCCTTGTCATTTGCTCAGAATAAAAAAGAAGAAAATGCCAGTTTCTTAAGAATATCCTCTATAAAATAGTAAAAGTTACTCATTTTATTAAAAGTTGGGTATATGACTTTAATTATTCTGTGTGATAAAGTATGCATGGCATTGAGTTTATATGCTGAACTAAGATGCTCGTCTTGAGGAAAAGTACTTAAGTGATTAATTTGCTAGCTGAATTAGCCATTCTTTTCATGGATGACAATTTTTACTTGAAAGAATGACAAATTATGGTTGTTCAGACTATCTGGCAGCCGTTTTCCTTAAAATGAACAAGGTGAATCCATCCCTTCAAGAACAACTGACAGTATTTATTGCCAGTGATAAAATGTGAGCTTTCAAGGGGAAATCAGAATTTTGTAAAACACATATCAACCACCATGAGCTTGACAGCTTCCTAACCCTTAAAGAGCTTTTCTAATAAGACTGGTAGATATTCATGAGTGTGATTTTTTTGATATAGTAAAATGAAATGTGTCAGCTTTTGCAGTTGTTACATAACTCAGGGGTCTAAGACTTTTTAAATGACCAGCGTGTGATATTACTGAATCCTGCATGGGTGAAAGAGCCATTCAAAAGTGCAAGATAGACAAATGATTTTAATGCATCAGAGTGTGAAAGTTCATTGATATGGTTTTAGATTCTATATTGTAAAATTTGGTATAACATCAAAGAAGAATATTGACAGTTATTTGAAAAGGCTAAGTTACTCTTCCCTCTTCATAGTTATACATCTACGTGAAATGAACTTTCTTCACATGCTTCTGATTGAGTGAAAGCAGATATGAGAATCTAGCAGTCATCTGTAAAGCCAGACATTAAAGATACTTGCAAAATTGTAAAATTGTGACATCCTCTGACTAAGTTTTTTGGAAATTAGAATTATTTTCACTAAGCAGATATTTATGTTAAAATTTATGGAGTTTATTACCATTTTTAACAAAGTAATTTTTTTTTAGATTTCTCAGTTTCAATCACTAATATGGTAAACATCAGTACGTCACTTACTGTTAATAACCCACATGAAAAAAGGCTCTTTGCAGTTCTCAGTTCTGAGAGTGTAAAGGCATCCTGAAATCAAAAAGTGTGAGAACTTGTGGCATAGAGTGTTACAGTAGACTGATGAGCTATTGTCCTTTGGTAAGCCTGTGTGTTGTAAAGTATCTACAAAGACAGCAGTCGCATTTGGTCTCCGTGTGCATCTTGAACAAAACCATTGTGCCAGTATGTCAAAACCTTGCACTATTGAGCTGCTTTTCTTTTGATTTTGTTGTCTTTTACCTTTTCTTCTGTTTTTTTTTTTTTTTTTGTCAGGATTAGAAGGCTTATCCCTTCCTTTTTGCAGCTGAGGCTTTTTTAAAAGGTTTCCCTGTCACCTAGATAAATTGCAAACCATTTAAAATGTGACCCAAATAACCAAACATGTATACTCTTAGGATACATTACTATTAACTGATCACAAATCACAAGAAATGTATCCATTGGTTATCTTTTTAGCATGTATCCATGTTTCATAGCTCACTAAGCAGATTTCATAGTCAACTTTCATTTACTTGCAAGCCTATTATCTGTTTTGTAGATTAACCAGAATTAGTTTTAAATTTTATCTGGGCGTTGTCTTACTAACAGGTTAGATTTAGTAAATAAACTAGTATGTGCCTCAGTGAGCTGAAGTTAAATAATTTGAAAGCAAAATGTGAAAGAAAAATTTACAGTTCTGTAGGTATTTGTGTTAAGTAGAACTGATTGAATTTTGCAGTTGTGTGTATCAATTCTGAATTTCATGAATAATTTGGTAGGAAATTTTATATACTTTTTAGATAGGTCCAATAGATAATATTAAAAACATCTGTACAGTGTTTGATATTTGCTATAAGAAAGCATTCCTTTGTCAGAAATTGCTGTCTTGATTAATCTAGGGGCCCATTATTTGCTTCTTATTACTATTATTAGTTACAGTGGACTTTCCTTTGTTATTGCTCAATAGAAGTATGATTTTTTTTTAATTAGGAAGTATCTGCTTATTTTCTCTTTCAGGATTTAATAAGAAGGCAGTTACTGATGGACACGAAAATGGAGACCTAGGAGCTTCAAGTGAAACTCCTATAGAAGACAGTGCTTCTAAATTAGATGATCTACACAGTCTGTATCATAAAAAGTCTTATTAAATTGACTGTATCTGCAGACAAGATTGTTAATCAGACTATTCTGAATTTGGGGCACTAGGGAAGATGGTGACAAAGACTATACAAGATTTAAGGAGGCTGTTTATTGCCTAAATGAAAGGCGGGTACCTCAGGGCTTCATGTGAACAATTCTAAATGCATAAAACTCCCTGTTTTCTGTGGTATACCATAATTAGCTATTGCATGAAAAGCAATTTTGATTTTCTTCAAATTATAAAGTACCAAAGCATGTGTTTCCCAAAAGGATAGTGTTAGGCTCTTAAGTACCAAATGAAGCACTACTGTTTTATTTGATTCCTTTTCCATTTAGTAGAAGGACAATGCTAACTGGATTTTTTTTTTTTTTTAAGGAATAGCCTTTAAATATAAGAGAATAAATGAATTCATATCGTATGTTCCAGAATGTTAAGTGTGATGTTTCAAAGGACAGAACTTGACTCAGTGAATTGCAGAAATATAGGCTTGACTTAAATTTGTTTTTTAACTGAAAGAATGGTTTTAGTGTTTTTTTAAAATTTAATGTGCTTCCTGATGTCTAAATCAGTTCTTAATGATCATTTATTATAATGAGTTTGCTTTTCAATGTTATTTATGCAGTACAGAATAGTTTTCTTTAAGCAATCCTGTATCAATCAATGCTGCACTAGAAATAGTTTCAGTTATTGTACTTTTCAGGTTTTTTAAAAGAAATGCCGATGAGTGTGAAATATCTGTTCTCAATTATGTTGATTTGTCTGCGCGGTATTGGAGCATTACGTTATTGTTTAGTCACAAATGCTTTTTTTCTGGAATCCACAAAAGACAGTTTTATACATTTTGAGTTGTTCATAATGTTTGTATTGTGATATTCCTAGCACTTAAAGGTACATTTTTTTCCTGGCAGTAAAACTCAAATTTATTACTATGTCAATGAGATACATTTAATTCAAACAGCAGTTTTCTCTCAAAGCATTGATAACTAACTGATTTGCCAATAATCTATAAATCTGAGGCACTGGTGGTGGGCAGGATAAAGTGAACATGTTTTGATATGATAATTTTTTGGTTGGCTTTTCAGTGTTAAATTTGACTAAAGTGCTTTTCATACGCAAACTAGATTTGCTACTTCTCTTATCCCAGGAATAAGCTCGGAGTGCCTGCTCTCGTACGTGCTGTTCCGCAGGCCACTGTACCCTGCAAGGAAAAGTGAAAAACATTGCATTTGAAGAGATGATAGTTTTGCCAATATCATTGTTTTAAAGAATACACATTTAAGGGAATATAAGTTGGGAGAAGGCTTTTAGAGTATTATCAGTATCTCATTTCTAATATTCAGATGTTATGTGATATAAAACACATTCTCTTGTCTTTCCTAGATGCACTATATGTTTGTTCATAGGTAAATCTATAAAATGTATATACTTTATTTGGTGGTTTTGCTATTTATAAATTTTATGTTTCAACTGTTACTCATTTATTGTTTTGGTAGTTTTGTTCATCTGTATATCACCATGTTAATTTGTAATAGGAAATGCACTTCATAGTATATGTGGTTACTGATACTAAAATACCTTTTAGCATAATATTGCCTCTGAGCAAAAACTAGTATTTAGTTGTGCAACTGAATAAGGAAGCCACATGTTACTGTTTGCTCCTGACAGGCTAGGACTGTTAAAAGAAAAATGCTTCCTCCTTATGCGTTTCCCCTACTCTATCTAGCACATACCCCCATGCATGATGTGAGATCTATAAACTGGATTTTAACCAGTGTATTCGCTCAGTCAAAAAAAATTTCCATTGCCACATATCTGAAAGCCTTTTTGTTGTGACTTGAAACTATGTTATTCTTATCTTTTTAAAGCACCATCTAGGATGGGAAGGCCTTGGCAGTTTTTCAGAGAGTATCTTTTATCTACTAAGGCCGAATCCTTAGGAAATATTAACCAAAGCCTTTTGATTTTCAAGGACTAATATGTCTATAAAGAGTTTTTTTAAGAGCCTTGAGTTGGCATTTCTATGAGGACGCTGTGTAATGTAAAGGATTGTATGAGATGGTTATGATAGAAACTCCCTTCTTGGGCTGATAAGCAAAGTGAAAAATGTTCCAGTTAGTTTAAAATTACAGAGGTCAGTTCCCATTTCATTCCTGCTTCACCTTGGTTTGCAGCCCATGTGAGAGCACTGTTGCTCAGGGATTACTATGAGATTCCCATCTGGTGTTTAGAAAGTACTTGGTTAAAAGTTCCTTTTAGAATATATGGTCTTTGGGAGATGAACTGAGAATTACAGACTCTTTCCAGAGGTCTAAATGAGAAGCAGTTTTTATGTTTTCAGATTTGTAAGAAAGAAACTTTATTTCCAGGACAAAACCAGATAAGGAGAGAACTGTTGCAAAGCCATTACAATTAAAAAGGAAAAAAGAAAAGTATACAGATGCACACACAAACAGAATAGCTGAGAAAAAATTTCAAGAGTATGAGGGTTGTATGTATGTGTGTATATATTAACTTCTACAGTTCTAAGTGTCTGTGACTTTGATGGCAAAGCGCGTTTGGGTTGTGAGACTTTAAAATAGATTGAAAAGAGATGAAAATTTTGAGATCCTTGGTAATATAAACAAATGGTTTTTGCTGACTTAACAGTTGTCAAAAGTTAGCTCAGCATTTCTTTGGTGCTGGTTCTATCCCCCCCCCCCCCCCCGCCGTAGACTTTGTTTTCATGTTTAGAAACAAAATATATTGATTCATGTGTAAGTTGCCTATTTCTGATGTCCTTATTATGTAATGCACTATCCCAGCTACCCAGTTTTCTGTGTAGGGTTGGCCTCAAATCTATAGGATTTTTGACAAATGTATCATATCTAGTTGCGTTGAGTTTTAGTATTTTTTTATTAGCCTGTAAATAAAGATGGCATCTCTCCTATAATGAAATGGTATTAATCTCATTTAAAAATAAACATTTTACAAGTCTTTCATGTTAAAGCTTTTCTTTATTTCCAGTAGCTTCTGTCATTTGTATCAGTGAGTCGTGAAGTCCATGGTTGAGACTTCCACACTCCCAATGCAGGGGGCTCTGTTAGATCCCTGGCCTGGGATATAGGGTCCCTCATGCTGCACAGTGCAGCAAAAAGAAAAAGAAAATTGATAGCCAATGCTGTCCTTGAGGATATCATTGGTAAAAATTAGACAATGAGGGATTTCCCTTGCGGTCCAGGTGTTAAGACTCCACACTTCCCATGCAGGGCATAAGGGTTCAATCCCTGCTTGGCGACCTAAGATCCCACGTGCCATTCAGTGTGACCAAAAAATAATAATAATAAAATTGTTTGTTATTAGATACTGTACAGAGGATGTTAATTCATTTTATCATCTAAGCATATATAATTTAGAAGTTCTCAAATCATATCTAATAATTTTTAGACATATCTATAAACTTTGTTCAGTTTGCTCCTCACAAGGTTTACATGTGGTCATTTATAGTCAGCCTAAGAACTAGGTGTAAAATATGTAGGAATGCTATTTCTTTGTCAAGGTATTTGAGGTCAGTCAGGAGGAAAAACTCAAAAATGGTATTTTATTCTTAAGTATTAATGGATGTAAATCATGTTTCAGAAATTTACTTGCACGATGAACATTTGGGCCCCCCCTGGTGGCTCAGACAGTAAAGAATCTGCCTGCAATGCAGGAGAGGCGGCTTCGATTCCTGTGTTGGAAATATCCTCTAGAGAAGGGAACGGCTACCCACTCCAGTATTCTTGCCTGGAGAATTCCATGGTCAGAGGAGCCTGGAGTGCTGTTGTCCATGGGGTCTCAGAGTCAGACATGACTGAGCCACTAACGCTTTCACTTTATGAACATATAAACATATTTATTTTTTTTGTCATTGAGTAAATGATTCAGTCCTAATACTGTATGCTATGTGTCAGCTCCCAATTCACCAAGCAGTTTGAAAGTCTTTTCCCCAAAATTCATCTGCATAGGATATTGTTCAGTTTATTAAATAGAAAAGATTATTTGCATTTTCATTATTAATTAGTGTTCTAGATTAGGAAATTTTATAATTAACTTTTTTTTTTAGCTGAGAAGTATTAATGCAAATTATTACATGCTGTTGGTGCTAAATATTTGTCTGATAAATCTTTTTCAGGTGTATTTTGAGAGCTACAGTCATGGTTCTAGCAACCAGTAGAATGCATCTCTCAGCCCTCCAACAGGAGGGAACGTAAGGGCCTGAAGGCCCTGTAGCCGCTGCACTTGGTCATCCCCGCCTTAACGCAGTCTCTGCCTCTTGCCAGCCAGAGACCGAGCCTGGCAGGGAGATGACTCCTTCACTTTGGTGTTAAGACTGCCTTACAGTCTTGCCGGACTCCCTTAAGATTGTGTTATAGTCGCTAAGTCACTCACTCAACCTTCCTTCTTTTATTTACCTGCATCAGGGCCTGGCTGCCTCCCGCCAACCCCAGCACCCCCACTCTTTTCCTCACCAGTGTTGCCCCTGGTAAATCTGTTCCATGGCTGATCCCTTCTTGGTCTAGGCGTCTGCTTCCTGGAAGATCCAGACTAACGCAAGTAGCCCAGGAGGGAGAGCCAAGAAAACCGGTTAATAGGAGAATAGGAGCTGATTCATCTCTGTTCCAAAGAATGCAGAGGATGACAACCTGGCTGGTAAGTGGCATCCATACAGGCCCAGGCACAGGTCAGTTACTAAATATGTCACAGATGGTGTGCAGACGAGTTGTCAAAGCAGGCCTGAATCTGTTACCCTTAGAGAGGCCTGCTTGCAAGGTTCACATATGTCCAGCAGTTTGGATTTCATGGGTGTTCCCCCATTCTCTTAATTGATAAGGATGGTTTACTTTGCCTGAAGTGTTTGTACAGACAATGGGATTTATGTCGAACACCTGCTTTCCTTCTGGGAATCATGCATTTTGGTACATGTTAGACAAAGAGTGCCTGCTTAACTGGGCACAATAAAAACCCTGGACTCCTGTGCCCAGGCTCAGGCCAGTTTCCTTGGTGGGCACTATTTTATACATATTGTACATCTTTGCTAGAGGAATTAAGTTCATGTGTGAATCCATGGCTTCCTCTAGACTTTGTTCATGTACCTTTTCCCTTTGCTGATTTTGCTTGTTGTTCTTTCTCTATAATAAATCATAGTTGTGAGCACAGATCTGTGCTTAGTCCTGTGGGTCCTTCTAGCAAGTTGCTTAACCTGAGGATGTTCTTAGAACCCCAGACACAGGTGGTAACTTAGGCAAATATCTCCATGGAGAAGGACTCTGTGGAAGTTCAATGAGGCAGGCATTTGATAAGTGTGGAAAGAACAGTGTCTCCAAGAACAGCAGAATTGGCTGGTTACTGCTAGGTTGTGTTGATGACCTCCAGAAGGATAATGAGAGACCCCAGGCTGTTATCAAGCTGTTAATACGGAAATGACAGCCAGAGGACCCCTGGGGAGCTCACAGTTCTGTTTAATTCAGTTCAGTTGCTCAGTCGTCTCTGTTTGCGACCTAATGGACATAGCACACAAGGCTTCCCTGTCCGTCACCAACTCCCAGAGTTTACTCAAACTCATGTCCATTGAGTCGGTGATGCCATCCAACCATCTCATCCTCTGTCGTCCCCTTCTCCTGGCTTCGGTTCTTCGAATCAGGTGGCCAAAGTGGGCTACAACATCAGTCCTTCCCATGAATATTCAGGACTGATTCCTTTTAGGATGAACTGGTTGGATCTCCTTCCTGTCCAAGGGACTCTCAAGAGTCTTCTCCAACTCCACAGTTCAAAAGCATCAATTCTTGGCGCTCAGCTTTCTTTCTAGTCCAGCTCTCACATCTATACATGACTACTGGAAAAACCATAGCTTTGACTACACAGACCTTTGTTGGCAAAGTAATGTCTCTGCTTTTTAATAAGCTGTCTAAGTTGGTCATAACTTTTCTTGCAAGGAGCAAGCGTCTTTTAATTTCATGGCTGCAGTCACCATCTGCAGTGATCTTGGAACACAAAAAAATAATTCTGTCACTGTTTCCACTGTTTCCCCATCTATTTGCCATGAAGTGATGGGAGGTTTTAGGCCAACTTTTTCACACTCTTTCACTTTCATCAAGAGGCTCTTTAGTTCTTCCCTTTCTGCCATAGAGGTGGTGTCATCTGCATATCTGAGGTTTTTGATATTTCTCCCAGCAATCTTGATTCCAGCTTGTGCTTCCTCCAGTCCAGCATTTCTCATGAGGTACTCTGCAATAAGCAGGGTGACAATACACAGCTTGACGGACTCCTTTCCCAATTTGGAACCAGTCTGTTGTTCCATGTCCAGTTCTAACTATTGCTTCTTGACCTGCATACAGATTTGTTAGGAGGCAGGTCAGGTGGTCTGATATTCCCATCACTTGAAGAATTTTCCACAGTTTGTTGTGAGCCACACAGTCAAAGGCTTTGGCATAGTCAAAAAGCAGAAATAGATGTTTTTCTGGAACTCTCTTGCTTTTTCGATGATCCAGTGGATGTTGGCAATTTGATCCCTGGTTCCTCTGCCTTTTCTAAATCCAGCTTGAATATCTGAGAGCTCACAGTTCACATACTGTTGAAGCCTGGCTTGGAAAATTTTGAGCATTACTTTACCTAGCGTGTGAGATGAGTGCAATTGTGCAGTAATTTGAACATTCTTTGGCATTGCCCTTCTTTGGGATTGGAATTCATTCTGACCTTTTCTAGTCCTGTGGCCACTGCTGAGTTTTTCAGATTTGCTGGCATATTGAGTGCAGCACTTTTCACAGCATCATCTTTCAGTATTTGAAATAGCTCAACTGGAATTCCATCACCTCCACTAACTTTGTTTGTAGTGATGCTTCCTAAGGCCCAGTTGACTTTGCATTCCAGGATGTCTGGCTCTAGGTGAGTGATCACACAATCATGATTATCTGGGTCATGAAGATCTTTTTTGTATAGTTCTTCTGTGTATTCTTGCCACCTCTTCTTAATATCTTCTGCTTCTGTCAGGTCCATACCATTTCTGTCCTTTATTGTGCCCATCTTGGCATGAAAAGTTCCCTTGATATCTCTAATTTTCTTGAAGAGATCTCTAGTCTTTCCCATTCTATTGTTCTCTATTTCTTTGTGTTGAATAGTGAGGAAAGCTTTCTTATGTCTCCTTGCTATTCTTTGGAACTCTGCATTTAAATGGGTGTATCTTTCCTTTTCTCCTTTGCCTTTGAGTTCTCTTCTTTTCATAGCTGTTTGTAAGGCCTCCTCAGACAACCATTTTGCCTTTTTGCATTTCTTTTTCTTGGGGATAGTCTTGATCCCTGCCTTCTGTAAAATGTCATGAACCTTGGCCCATCATTCTTCAGGCACTCTGTCTACCAGATCTAATCCCTTGACTCTATGTGTCATTTCCACTGTGTAGTTGTAAGGGATTTGATTTAGGTCATACCTGAATGGTCTAGTGGTTTTCCCTACTTGCTTCAATTTAAGTCTGAATTTGGCAATAAGCAGTTCATGATCTGAGCCACAGTCAGCTCCCAGTCTTGTTTTTGCTGACTGTATAGAGCTTCTCTCTCTTTGGCTGCAAAGAATATAATCAATCTGATTTTGGTGTTGACCATCTGGTGATGTCCACGTGTAGAGTCTTCTCTTGTGTTGTTGGAAGAGGGTCTTTGCTATGATCAGTGCGTTCTCTTGGCAAAACTCTGTTAGCGTTTGCCCTACTTCATTCTTTACTCCAAGGCCAAATTTTCCCATTACTCCAGGTATTTCTTGACTTTCTACTTTTGCATTCCAGTCCCCTATAGTGAGAAGGGCATCTTTTTTGTGTGTTAATTCTAAAAGGTCTTGTAGGTCTTCATAGAACCGTTCAACTTCAGCTTCTTCAGCATTACTGGTCGGGGCATAGACTTGGATTACTGTAATATTGAATGGCTTGCCTTCAGAACGAACAGAGATCATTCTCAGAAGGGAATGATCAAAAGGA